ACCTTTTTACTTCTCTAATCGATCGAGGAGGAAACGGTGAAGAAATTGCATTCTGATTTGCGTAAAGTTCACTTAACCGCCATTCACTAAGTTCATATTCTGTTTTCAGCAGCTGCGTCGAATGGCCAGGGCAAAATGTGTGCGTGCGTGAGTTAAGAGAATGCAGCAAACTCGTTTTGAATGCGTACCTACGCAATGTTCTGCTAAAGATTCCTTCTCAAATTTGATTATTTCCCTTACACACTATTAATAAGAAGGAATGGAACTTGTTCAATGAGTGAGGTAGCAGTTTTGACGATAAATGAGGTGCAGAGCAGTACTGGGCAACGATAGGCATTTGTGACATAAGATTCGAATATTTCTTGAATTTTTTTCGACAGCTCTCAGAGATCGGCTGTCGCTTTCTTCAAGTTCTGTGTCAGACAATGCTAATGTACCTAAGACTGGCTGGAAAACCATTAGATTACCAAACAAGAACGCTAGTCTCGACCAGGAGCACCTACTACGACTTTTCTCTTGACTACCCGGTGAGCAGTCTGATTGCGGGTCACAACTCATGATCTATCGGCAGTGGCTCTGACATGGTGCTACGCAGTGTTCTCGATGAGTACGATCACCGATCGCTTTCCAAGAGGACGAAACATTATTGATTTTCCTTATGTGGCAAGGCGAGTTGTATAAACTAATAACCTTTGCTTGAATGGTTATATAACATTTTCTTTCACCTTCTCTTTGGCCAAACGACAGAAATCAGGTTTCTTCGAAAGAAGGTTAGGAACGTACCTGGGCTTAGGATATGCTCGATTGTGAACTGCTCGTTTTCCAAATCTGGAAATGACAATTGCGATGAGTTGAACATACGATGAGAAAATATGCCATAAGCGCTCTCTTGACAAGTCACCTGAAAGACGGTCAAGATGCAGATTCACGATTGAGTGGCTCGATTCTAGCGAGGATCACTCGCTCTGCAGCCCCGTAGATTCCAGCTCATGACGCAGTTTCATTTCCAACTATCAGACATTATGCATTTCAACTTCTCTGCCTTTAAGCCTCATTTGCCTCAGTTAGCGATGACAGAGAGTGAACATCAGCAATTTATTGGAGAAATATTCTCATACTGCTTTTCCTACACTGAAAACGGATCGACGACATTAAAAATAAATGAATGAATCACTTCATCAGTGAAAATTTCTGGTCACTTTGTGCCAAACACAAAAAGCTTCAATTTTCCTCACTTTTGGACCATCAATCGTGAGTACAATGATCAATTCCGTTCATTTCGAGTTATACGTCAATCAGTGGCTGCTTGGTCTTTTTTCTTGAAACGTTTCCTCCTCAAGCGTCAGTTGTGCGAATGAACCTAAAGAGACGCCCGTTATTGACTTGCATGATCACCATACGTCATCTTCCTTTCATTTATTTTTAAAACTAATTCTCCTAAAGCTGTCCGATTTCCTGGAACACTAAATTTACGATAAAGCACGGTTTCTCAAGCAATGCATGGGGACGCAATTCAATAGATTTCTCAGGATTATTGATCTATACCAACGTTTTGTTTCTATATGTTCCAGAATTTGAAACGCTGAAACTTGCTCCATTGCCAAAGCAAATCATTTTCCTGTCTTTCTTCTCGCTGGTGATTGTTGAACGCAGTTGGTGTAGGCATTTAAGCTAGAAAGTCGTTTCAAACTACCTCCTGGTAATGAGTGAAGTCTTGCTGAGTTATTCATTTTGCGACCATCTGATTAACATTCAATCTTTGCTTTCAACAGAGCAATTCTTTCGCCGGATGTGAGCCAAACGATGTGAAATGAAATGCGCCGATAGAATTGCATTAATGAATGAACGAAAGCTTAATGCTTGAATGGAATCGTCAAAGAATTACATTTTTCAACAAAAGAAAATAAAAAATAAAATTGATACACATATCACAAAACAGAAGTACATTTTGACGTCTCGAATTAACAGAAAGAATCAATAAGCAAATGAACCACCGGAGAAGCCAGTGAAGAATCCCCTAGCAAACTTAATAAAGACAACCGGATTAAGAATATGTGACACTGGCAAACTTAAACATTGTTGTTTTACGTCAGTGGAACACTAATTTGTAAAACTCTACCTGATGACGGGATTACTGACCTTCGATACAACCTTATTCTGGCAAAATCATTGACACTTGGATGCAGTTGATTAAATTTGTGACAGACATTTTGACAGTCTGTGTGGGGGTGGATGAGTGCCATCCTCCAAGATGTGTTGACCTACGTGAGTACCGTGAGGAATCGCTGAATCAATGACCTGCTTAAGAAGACCATTGTACGAAAGGTAACTTATTCTAGAGACTTGTCTCGCCGGTCGCCTCAGCGCCTTTGAAGTCGCCTGTCAGTTGGCATGGCTGGAAAAATGACTCTTGATGCATATGCACAAAATGGTGCAAATTATCTAATAATGTGAAGGTTTCTCGGCCGCTGTACGTAAAGTGAAGCCCTACAACACCTGTTCACAAGTGAGTGTATGTGTGCTTACAATATGAGGTCAGACGACAACTTAACTCCTAAGTATTTGACAGACTGACGTGAGGTAAGTAGACTGTTATTTCGGATATGATGAGAGATTCACAAATGCTGAATGCTTCGTATTTCGTATCGTGCAGACCCAACTTGCATGCCGAATGGTGTAGAGGTATTAACATTCGCTGCTGATGATCATTATGTATTTCACCAGTCCCCAGTTATCTCATTGATCTTGATATGATAATGTCATCGGTGTACTTAATGCATTTTTGAAGGGGTCCAATAACACAGTTGTTCGTGAAAATATTGAAGACAAGAAGGGAGACGGCTGAAATTGTTCTGCAAGCGACAAGACATGTTCCTGCTAACCAATACCAACTGAAGACAGTGAAGAACGTGGTCAGAAACCTTCGAAAGATGACGGATCGATTGCTAGTGTACCTACTTCCGGAACACTCGGTCTCGTGGAACCGAGGTCGATGAATAGCCACCTCGCTGTTCGTCTGCCTTTAGAAAGTTCCTATTCAACTTGAAGTGTCAGATATGCAATTGCATTTTCGGCACCCTTCTTTAGTTTGTAAGCTATCTGTTGAGGGTCAAGCACACCGATGACGGATCGCTCCGTAATCGGTAGCATAAGGTTTTCCTGACCTTTAACGGGTGCAGAGGTCAGCGCTTTGAGGCGGTAAAGCTTCTACAGAGGTAGAGGAGATAAAGTAAGATAACAACGGGTGAAAGACGTTCTTTACATCACTGGTGACAAACGGATTTCCCTGCGAATCGAGCATTCACGCTTAAGTGAGATGAATTCGTCGAAGCGTGTCAGAGACATAACATCTGCTGCTCTTTCGTTCATTTTCTCACATTCGGAAGGCGCTATGTGAGATGGCACTCGTTTTCCTGCCATTCTCATCATTTAGACAAGTGATCGATCGCACTTTTGATATTTATTCCAGATTTTCTCTTGTGAATTCAGTGCTGAAAGCGGAGGGAAATGAGGTTTATTTCGACGTCGCCATGAGAATATTGCGTAAGCTAGCCGGTTGTCTGTTCGTTGGTTACATTTTTTAAAGCAACGTTAATTTTGTTGATTTATTAACAGTTTGCGAGAAACAGCAATTAAACTACATTCAAGGCGTTTTTCTTACGACTGGTGCACTTTTTTCTGATTTGCAGCAGTCAACAGATTTCTCGCATAGAAAGCGCCTCTTACTTAAATCGTTAGCACAGGCTGTAAAGGATCAAATTAATTTTTACGACATACTTCAATTATAACTTATTATTTTTTGGAGTGAAATGAGGTTTCACGGGTCAATATAACACAACTGAGGCGTGCAACGAAGTTTAAATATTTTTAGCCAGTGTTCGTGAAAGACGACCCAAAGTACGTGAAAGTAGACACGCAAATCCGTGAAACGAGTTGGGTAGATTCAAAGCTACTCGAACTTCCGCATACAGAAACAGCTGGACATTTCTTTGATCCTCTCTAACTTCCTATCCCCATGTACGTTCATGAGTGTTGGACGTTGATTCCGAATATAGGCGGTCGAAATGAGGTTCTTTCGAAGGACTGCTGGCGCGATGAGTTTCCATGGGTTGCGAAACACGGCATCTTCAAATTCCTTACTTGAAAAATCAATCGATCAATCAGCCAATTAAAGAATTGGTCATGTAGGTAGGCGATGAGATTCAAGATGAGAGACAGAAATGAAATATTAATTTTTAATACCACGAATTTCGCATCTGTTGCATTTTGTATTATGTACGAAAACAGGAGTTGGGTTGACAACTGAAGGAGGGGTTTCAAGGACAACTGTAAGCACAGTCTTTTTGAGTCAAGTTCTTTTATGCTGGACTGTGCGTTATGCGAATTAAGTTCCTGAATGGGATATGATATCTCACAAATTTTCTTGATGCAAATGCGAACATTTAGAATTATGCTAACCCATGTTTAAGCTAACCATACGTTTTACCTTTCATTGTTGCCTTAGAAACAATCCAACAGGACTGTAAGCGTTTGGGTTTGTATTAATAAACGTTTAATGGGATGGTGGACCCTTTGAACATTTAAATCTATGAATATAGTTATACAGCGGTTCTGACATGATTTGCAGGTATGTTTCGTTATAATACTACACCTGAGAGCCTAAATGGAGCGGCTCAGAAAAAATTCACTTTCGTTCAGTTCTGCGAAGCCAGCCTGATTGACAGATATATAGAAGTACGTACTTTAACGTTAAAGTCTTACCGTTTGATTACATAGAAGTACGATTTTGGGCGAGTTTGATTTTTAAATACGAATCACTTATTGCGGCATCGAGAAGCAAGGTTATGTCCATTAAAGAATTTCGTGCATAATATGGCAGACTTGAATCCATGTAGAAAGCTATCAAAAATTTAAAGATTTTAACTAGTCACCTCAATAAATGATCAACTGAAACATACACGTAAATCGTTGGCTATCATTGGGTACGACGGGTTCGACGGATGACTAGTACGGTAACCGGAAGTGCGCCGAAAGTTTGCGAAGACGCTGAATCAGACGACACCTTGGAAAAGACGGTAGTCATCCGTGAAGAAGTTATCATTGCTGTCCGTTGTTCAATTAAACCACTAAACCTCGAGTCATAGTTTCAGCGGAAGCAGAAAAACTTGGTCACCCCGTCTCAGGCCTGATTGCCTATTTGATATTGCTCGCTTTCTGCCGACCACAGACAATGAGTCTATTCTGCCCCTTTTCTGGTGCAGACCCTTTCGAGTCATGTTCACGGAAGTGTGGCGTTTCCCGACTTGTCGATCGAAGGCCTCATTTTCGATCTCCATATGAAATGCAGTCGTCGATGAGGAAATAACGACCATTAATCCGTTAATTTGAATTCCCCTGGTCGAAAACTCGAGCGAAACCCCGTCGTTGTGTTTCTAGACTGTGAGCATCGTGCGATGCTTAGCAGCGCTGGGTTTTGCGACCGTTTGGTTAGTTTAATTGACGGGGCAGACGACAGCATCGCACAAATGTCATCCGTAAACGATCTTTAAGCGCGAGAGTTCCATTTTCACTGTGAGTCAGAGGCTGTGAGTCATGACCAAGCACGCACCAACAAAAGGGAAGCCTCAGAGTTGTTTCAGCTTCACGTTGGAATGTGAATCTGCGTTGCACTTCCACTTCCACGATTACGCCCCATGCGTGGTATTCTTGTTTCATGGAGTTTGTGTTATGAAACTGATCCAATCCCATAAATTATTACTGCTTCATTTTAAGGGTCTGTCGACATTTGTTTGCTAATGTGTGATCTCAGAAATTCTAGAAATGAAAATCTGTAACCGTTGAAACGTTAGTTTCCATTATACTTTCGACGATGGGATCAATTTATAGCCCTTTCCCTTCACAGAGCCTTTGATGGACACTTGATCTGCATATCTGTGCCTCGGACAAGAGTGCCCTGTTGTCATCTAAGTTCTCTCTTCAATTTGGTACATTCGGATGTTTCCTTCCCATAGTAGGAAAAAACAAGTGACCTGATCATGTGAGTACAGGGCAACGTCGACGGCTGGAAAAACAGTTGAACTTCAGTGGCTTTTGTTGTTGCTGCTTCTAGATGACACTAGATGAACCTGGCTGATCTTTTCTGAGCAAAAGTAAAACGAACGATCAATAAATCACAGAATTGCTTTATCAGCACTTAGCGCACTACTGTAGTTTAACGAGAAGTCGTGGCAGAGCGCTAGTCATGGAGGCCAATCGTAATAAGTTGGTGCTCAGATTTGTACCAAGCATAGAGTAAGTCTTGAAACTTGATTATTCAAATTGATATTCAAGCATCTTATGAAGCTTTCTGAATAATTACGGCGGAAAGGCCTTTAACAGCAGAGAAGAGACGTCAAGTTACCGTCTTGCAGACAACAAGGTTCTTGGCGAAGCCACACAATGAGCCTGAAAATGCGAGTAAAATCATTTTCTGATTGATCTTAAATCCGTTCAAATAGGATTGTCTTAAGCACGAATGAAAATCATTTCATTCCTTAAGCCAGCTCTTCTTATTTTCATTTTCGTTTTGCTCGTCAAATCTGTTCACCTATTGGATGCTTTGGCAATTCTCGACAAATCGTAAACAGATCAATACCTGGCGATCTGCATGGTCAGCATGACGTTTTGGCTTAGCCATGTCAGAATCAGCTAAATGTGCCGCCATGTCATCCAATGAAGACGCCTCGTGTAACCGAACTCCCCATTGACCCACTTGATAGTTGACTGTTCAGTGTAATAGTCAGCGTAAGGTGCAACCCTGAAAAATAAATCTGCAATGAAACTAGTCGAGTAATGCCATTTATTGCAGCGGAATTGAGGGATGCCCTCTCTGTTCAGACTGGTAACGGTGCTTATGGTTAAGGTTCGGTTATCACACAGAATCTACGCCGGCCTTGACCATATGGCATGTTCAAAGGATGCTGTCTCCTGTTCTTTGCTTAATATCAATCATATGGCAACTTTCGGATTTGCCATACATTTAGTCCGAGTCATCGTCAGTTCAGAATTTATATGGCGTTATGACCAGATTTGGCCATGCGTTTTATGCAGCTGATGGGAACGGTTATTAGTAGACCCTACGTAGATAGGTCGAACGATTCAAGGTTCAGAGTACCAAACTCAACAGATGGTACAACAGTTTATTGCTGGCGCCTTTCGCTACATAAACCGTAGCATCATCAGGATTTGGCTAAGTACACATCACCACCTGAAATATTATTTAATTATTAGTAGATCTTCTGGTTTGTAAACTGACTACCCAAAGCAAATGGCATGGTTTTAAAGGTTTGAAGAGCTCTGTGTTGCTGGTGGATGACTGGTTAGTCATCCGGTTCCAATTTCATAATAGCTCTTCCCGGCTGAGAAAAATGAGATCTGCAATGCCATTCTTTATTTTGATCGTTGCTCCCTCTCCTTGACTTAGAAACCAAGATTGAAATTGCGGAGAGCACCAGAGCATCATTGAAAGCAAAAGGAAAAGGACATGAAAGTGACAAAATGAAACGAGTTTTTTCGCCTCCTCAATTACCAGTTAATCCAATGTATCTACAACTAGTAGTAACCTCGGTTCGTACTTCACGTGGTAGCTTTGCTTGCTACAGACAGGTTCATGTATACCGCCCGAAGTGATGGCATCTTATCAGTTGGCAGACGGCGACTGTAACACCTAATCGTGAGTCTATCATCTGGCATCATTTCGATCTTATCAGATTTTATCAGATACATCAAATTGAGATTTATTTTTGATTGAACGTGATCTGCAATACGATATTAAAATAAAGTACGATCGAATCTACTTCATCTCAATAAATTCGCTGCTACGATATAAAAAAATAAATTATTTCTCTAACAATTCTGCCATATGTCATTCAGATTTGTCTCTGAGGTGTAGGCTATTTGTTTGAACCCTCATTTGCATTTCTACGCAAACAAGGCCAATTACCTCTGCTAGAGCCTAAGCCGTAAGAAGTATGTATATTCAGCCTCAAAATCGAATTTCTGTTTGACGATATCTTGCGGTTCCGCTGTCAACTGTTACTTAAGCAAATCTCTTTACGACTGTTCATTCCACTAGGTTTAAACATTGTCAATTAGCAGCTGGATCCGAAGCCATTGCCGGCCACCTTTTCAACGTGGAAAACCGGAACATTCGTTCGTGTCTGACGTGGCAAACGGATGCAATACAAACTCTTTGAAAGTGTTACTTCTCCGAGTTTCGCGTATTCGGAGCGAATCTTCCATTCCTCAAAAATGAAAGCCAATTGTGTCTTCTAAAATTCCCATCAACTTCATTGCCGTGTTTCGAGCAAGAAATGTTTGCACCAGATGGTCTTACAATCCAGTGGTTGAAGGAAATACGACGTTTGATGCCATGATTACGAACACTGTGTCGGTTTAAATATACTTATTCGTCTCGTCATCACCATTGGATAAAAGACTTTCTATATGATTACATGATGGTCATCGAATCCCGATTGACGGTTCGGCGCTGCAAATACAATAGACCAGGAAAAATCCTTCACTTACCTTGAATTGTTGCCTTGAACTGTTGATCAGCAAGCGAAGACAATGAACTTGTATTCAAATGGGCAACCAGACGATACGCCCTTCCACACCCTCATGAACACAAGATTTCGAGAATGCTTTATTCAGAGACTACTAAAGACTGTTGTTATTGATCCTTTCATCCATATTTATAATTACTGTGACCTTCTTTTCTACAACAAGCCTTTAAAAGGCATAAAGAGTTCGTCTGGGTCGACCCTGCATGCCACGGTTTTCTTAGCCGACTTCACCACTATCTAAATGTAGCAGGTTGATAAAT